AATGAACAGCTTATTTGCACGATTAGTGCAAGTGTAAATTCTCTGTTATTAATCTCATAATTTAAGCAAATGTGAAGCATTATTTTTTAAAGTTTTGTGGGTTTTTTTCAAATTGCTGCCTTAGTAGTGTTGTGCTTTTGCTATTTTTGCAGCATCAAATTCATTCTCTGTTTGTCATGCTCCATTTAGTTGCAGTGGAGAAGACTGTCAGAGAAATACAATTTTCCAGGAAGCATTAATTGAAATGATGGTTTTATATTCAGCATGAAGTAACTGACAGATGTCGATAATAAACAGAGAAAATTCATTAAGTTGCATTTCTCCCCTTTTAATCTTTTTCTCCCTCCAAAAAAGCAATTAATTTAATATCCTGCACAACATTGTAGAAAATGTTTTCTATACAATCACTTTAACTCTCCCACAAATTTCGATTGGATCTGGGGGAAAATTTTTAGAAACTGACACCTTAAGAAATTACTTGAGTACTGGAAGCGTCAGTAATAAATTTTCACATATTTTTAAATCTGTGTGTACTATTTATATAATAATTTAACCCAAATCTGCATAATCATTCTAAAATATTTGAGTCAAGCAAAGAAGTATTGCACAGCTTTGACATTGAAAAAGACTTAAAAACATTCAGGCTTGGTGGACAAATGAACATAAAACCAGCCTGTTTGTGGCATATTGTCATACTTCTGTATGATATAAGATGGAAGGCTGCTACTTTTGCCAGTAACACATGAAGTCTGGCGTTATATTGAACTGGTATTTCCATTAATTTTTGTTAGTCCCCACTGGTTCTTTTTCACTTTCTTAGATGTTTTATATTTTCATATAGAAATGATATTTCAAATTACTTTCATTTACAGTACTCATTCATTATTGTCACAGGACTCAATACTTGAAGGACAAGTAAGAAATGAAAAAAAATTCCCAAACAGTAAAAAAGTTATTATCTGTAATATGAAAAAAAATCCCCACATTAAAAAAATCTAGCAGCAGGAAAGCCATCTCCTGGTTAAAAGTACTGGTGAGGACAGATGTCCACTTCCAGATCTTGCTGTGCTAATAGACATTTTTACCATCTGTACTGCCTGTCAGTGTGCACTAGCTGGGAAGCAGCATCCCGCAGATCTGCCAGTACAATGAAAAGTGGGAGTGACCTCTAATCCTCTTCAAGCAACTCAGGTTTGCTCAGACACCTTATGTTTATGAATAAAGCAGATTATTTGAAAAAAGTAAGGATTGTCCCCCTTATACCTTCTGGTGACAATAGCATGGAGAATTTATGGAAGCTTTTGCAAAATAAACATATTGCCTCGGATTCTCAATCACATTTCCCTTAGCTGTATCTCTTTGTATAGCTTTGGCTTCTCTATGTATTTTGTTGCCCCTTGCTCACCTTATCTCTACAGTAATGCTTAGAACTGTTACGGTATGATTTCATCAACTGATCTGTAGGTTTCTTCAGTCTCTCTCTTGCAATATAGGAGTTTGTTAATTTCTGGCATTCAGTAGGAGGAAAAAAAACCTAACAAAATTTTGCTGAAGGGGTTTTTTTGAATGATGGCTAGATCTCAGGAGAAGGGAAAACTTTTTGTTTTAACTAAACATTGAATTTATTTTCAAGTATTTCTAGAAGTTTTACAAGAAAATAAATTTCATAATTAAAGGTAAGGTTTTTTTGGTGGGACTTGGTGAGGAATTTCACCAAGACAGATCCATAGAAAAGAATAAAATCACCCTTGTCTATTTATGGGTCTGTTTTGCCAATTATCAGGCCTAGCATGAAGGACACAGCCAGCATAAAGATGAACCAGTAACCAAATTGTATTTGATACAAAAGGGTCAGTACCTGGGTGAGCACTGGGGGTACAAACAAGTCAGATTATACATAATCGACATCAATCCCACTGACCCCAACAACAACACTGCACAACCAAAAATGGGTGGAATAAATGGTGACACGCAGATGGGAGACAACCGAGTCAACAAGCCAAACACATCAGACCGAGGAAGCCACACACAGAATCTCTACACAGCCCACGTTTCCAAAGGCCAGACCTGACTGGAGCCCAGTCCCAGGGAGGCGGGAGGTCCTTCCCCAACAGGGAACTCTGCACAGGGCACCCACCTCACAGACAGACACTGCCCCTCCTGCAATGGTCCCAGCTTTATCCCTCAGTGGGACACCTGACCTTTGTTACTGACTGCGGGACGCCTGGGGCTCCTTTACCCAATGGCTCTGTCTGCCAGGCCGGCTGCACCCTGGAGGGAAGCCTAAAGGTAAACTCACCCCCCTTTGGGAAGGGCTGTGGGAATCACCCACATGTCAACCTTAATTTGGGGCTGAAACCCCAGCATTTCAGGGTCTTAAGGAAGATAATATTTATTATGAAAAATGAAAGAATACCTTTAAATAAAATTTATGTCTACATACCAATGTAGGTTACTTAGACTATAGTCTGGAAGATGATGGTGACCATAGATGGTTTAAATGAAGTCTAGTTCTCAACCTAACAGAGTCTAAATGAATGATTTTTGTCTTAGAGGAAAAGCAGCTTTTTGAGTTCAAGTATCTCTTTTGCTTTAGAGGCTTCTCTGTATGTTTGTATATTTATATGTGCATTACAATCAGGTACATAGGACAGGATATCTGTAATTTTTATGGCCTCCTGACTGTAAAGTATATAGTGTAATTTCAAAGTCATGAATTCCTTGTGTCTAGGTAATTAGGATTGCTGAAAAATACTGCAGCTATTTCCTGTACTATCTCAGCCATCCCTTCCATGCTGTTGAGTACCTGGTCATCTGCTTACCTGCTGGAGCTGGCCCACCACTGTGCATGTATGTTCTGTGTTGGAACACAGGCAGTTCTTCCTACTACTTTCCAGTGTGCTTTCCATTTTTTTCTGTTTTAGAGCTTTGTATTACCACTTGTAGATGCATTATATGAACATTCCTGCCAGAAATCCCTGCCACTATCAATGCCGTCCATGTACTTTGTTCTTCATGTATGAAGTCACAGCTGTATCTGGAGTAGGTTGTGGTTTGGAGGCCTAGTGCAAATTGTGCTTGCCATTTTTAGTGAAAATTCTTCCTTGTATTGAGGGGTTTTGCAGCTCTCTGAAAGCTAATCAAACTGTGTTCGTTGTGTCTCTGCTGAAGGCTTGTCCCCATGTCAGGTCCTGTCAGTGGTGAGCGACTCCCCTGATCTCTCACATGTGTTGGCCTAACTTTGGTGATCTGCGTTGCTTCACAAAAGGGCAATGACACAAATGGCTCATAGCCTGCAATTCGTATTTCATAGGGGAAGGCGTTTACCCCGTGTTGGAAGCTGTCTGGGAACTCATGGAGGAGTGGAGAGGTTTGACATGTTACGTTTGAATCACGGAGAATAACATAGACACGCTTCATAATGGCTGGAACCTGTCTGTTACAGTGTCACTAAGCACTAGGTACTGAAAATTAAATGAAGTGAGGTAATAATAACTACAGCATGCCTTTATCTGGGGTAAAGGATAGTATTTCTTAGAAGCTGAAGGTGAAATGAAAGTTTGATGAGTTAACCAAGAGCCAGAAGCTACACAACAGCTGTAATTATATACCTTAAGTGAAAGGTGAGTCAACATCTTTGCCCGTATTGTGGCAGGATTGATACATTCAGAAAAGCATCGCTTATGTTCTGAGGAAGTTACGCTTGGGCCTGGTGCTTTCACCCAGGAGGTGACTTACTGGCATTGGCGTGCTGCCGGGAACAGTTGCAACAGTCCCGAATGAAGGAGACATGACGCTGAGTGCCATTAGCACAGTAGGATCCTGACGGCTTTTGCTTGACATCGTGAAGGTGCTGTTAATGGGGCTTGCCATTCCTTGAGTACCCGTGGTGATGTGCTGGTGGTGATATGGGGGAGGCAAGGACTTACCCTAACCTGTGTGAGGCGAGGAATCCTTACAGCGTGGCATCGGTCATTTCCTCTGGCTCTCCTGCAGACATCTTTGTATTCCTCCGAGATCAGCTCTCAAGTATTTTCATTGTGTCATGTTGGGGTGGATAAGCACGAATAACTTCATGTTGTTGATCACATTCAAAACCTACAGTTTACTAAACTTTCCAACTGATACCAAATATTATTTAGTGGATATGTAACCACTTATTTTATTGCAGTTCTTTATGCTACTGAGAGTGGTATGCAGGCACAGTTATTCTACCCTAAAGTTGCAAGGCGCTAAATATGCATACATTAATATAATTTTTAAAATAGGAAAAAAGAACCTAAGTGGGCTGTTCCACATAACCACACATTCTTACACTGTATCCTTAAATTAAAATATTCACAAGTTGAAGTGTCATGCAAAATGCATGAATTTTTATAACGATTTCAGGAACCATATTGTTTCCTTGTTACTGTTTTTGCATATATAGCCCCACTTTGGCTCTCTTTTTTCACTTAACGCAGATTTGATGCAGCTCATTCCAGTGATTGTGTGGCAGTATATATGCAGCAAGAGAGGTTGCTTTAAAGTGGGACAAGACATGCTCTATTGATTTACACTTTGAGGTCATTGACCTGAGGTCAGAACAAAGATACGTATGCTGCTTCTACTCATATTACCAGAAGCTGCTAACAGCTATTCCAACTTCATCCGAAATATAATTTATTTGTGTTTGTGATCTATTTTCAGAAGTCATTGCTTACATATAGGTATGTATCAATATGCATAGGTCTTATTAAAGTAAACCTCCTAATTCAAAGATTTATGATTAAAACTAGCAGGAATTAGTACTAGAGTCTCTAAGGATTCTGTTCAGAACTTGAGGACAAATCATCTTGCAAAAGAGAAATTTAAGTGAAATATCTACCTATTTGTTAGTATGCCATAGGTGGTACAGTTTGTAGTTGTTCTTGGAGAAATAATTTATAGGTATGCAGATATAAGTGAGCGTTCTCTATTTTACTGCAATTTTAATTTATTTTATTTTATTTTATTTACAGGATTAGCTGGCACTGCTGCAGACCTAGAAAAAAGAAAGCTTATTTTTGGAAAAAATTTTATACCTCCAAAGAAGCCAAAAACATTCTTACAGCTAGTCTGGGAAGCGTTGCAGGATGTGACTCTTATAATCTTGGAAATTGCAGCCATCATATCTTTGGGGCTTTCGTTTTATCAGCCACCTGGAGAAGGGAATGAAGGTAAAAACTTTTTATAGAAGTTATTTGTAGAAGTTTAAGTAAAACCAGTCCTGCATCTCAAACTGATTCTATCCCCACCCTCTGGAAGGTCGCTAACAGGAAATTTCCATGTGATTTGTGCCTATTACCATTACAAATGGTACTGACATATTTTTTGTGTGCTTGACATTTCTTCATGCTGAACCTTGTGACATATGCTAAACGAGTTAAAGAAGAATCATAATATTCTTATAAAACTGACGTATTTTTGTGTCTGTTTTCACCTTTGAGTTTGTGTTTGATGTTTATTCATCTTAGATGGTTGTTTCCTGCATTATAGGTGATAAATATGTAATTGCTTATATAGCTAATGTATCCTATCTACATGAGCATGGACAAGTCTTCAGCTAGTTTATACCAGCTGAAGACTTGAAATTAGTGAAATTCACACATTTCAGTATTTTTAGTGGTACAGCTAAGGCTAGTGAGCCTGGCTCACAAGGGAGTATTAGGGGCAAAGTCATGTTACTTATAAACTATATATTGCAGAATCCTTCTGTGATATCTGTAGAGTTTTAACACCCATCCTGCGTCCCTGTCCCTCTCCTTTTTTTCCCCCTTTGGAAAGTACTCTTGAATTCACATGCTGAAAATATTCTTCTACATAAATGCAAGATTTCCATTTCTGGCAACTGATCCAGATTTTTTTTTTTTTCCCCTGCTCTCTCATAGACTTATAAAGCCGGATAAATATGCTGTGTGAAATGACGTGAATAGCTTGGCGAATGTATGAAGAATGTCTTCCTCTAAATATAGCTCTGAAATGCTTTTTACATTCGCTTCAGTTTCCTTTGGCTACTTTCCTTGAAGACCCTTCCTTCTTCCTTATCCATTCACAAGCAGAATAAGCACGTAGCTATCCATAGCTCTTGTATCATATTTATGATTCTTTAACTATATATATAATCAGGAATCTTTTGTTGCTTTATCACTGAATTTTGAATACATGACTATTGATTTCAGCAGGTGTCTGATTTAGGCATGAAAATAAAGGATTCATTTGGTCTTTAACTGAAGAAAACATTATTTACTGTTATTAGCTCATATAGTTGGACATAGAATACCTTGGGGACGTTGTAAACCATGAATGATGCTTTACAAAATTAGAATTTAGATCTGTAAACTTTTTTCTTAGGCATAAGTGTGCAGGCTCCTCTCTTTTTTTTTTTTTTTTTTTTTTTTTTGTTTGGTGGGAAAGGAATTTTTAAAATAGGATTGTTACAGGTTTTAGAAAGAGGGGAGATGTGTCATCAGATGATGTTGTTTTTTTTCCAATTTTTTTTTTTTTCAAGTTGTTATTATTTTGATACTGCATTTAAAATGTTTCTTTTCCCATGGGAAGGTATGACAGACACATCTGAGGTAGTCTGAAAAGCTCAGCAACACAGCCTGGGAAAAAGTGTTAGTGTTTTCCCACAGCACAGTGTTTTATTCAGTGGTCACTCTTTTCCTTGTGTTTTTAAAATTGTTTTCCTGGAAGGTTTTGCCATGTATTACACAGGGAGAATAAATACAGTTAGGGAATATCTTTTAATCCAGCATTCTGAACACATCATAAAGGTCCTTTACATTTTTTTTTTTTTAAAGGCTTTCTTTGAGCAGTTATATAAATGTGGGAGATTCATTTTAAAATGAGTACGTTATAAACTGTTGCCAAGGATACCTATAGTTTATTGGTAGATGTCATTTTTAAAAAGTCCTAAACATTGAAAAACTGATATATTAAGCTTGACTATACCACACTGTTGGTGTGGGGTATAGTCATAATTGAAATTCATTTAATGTTTCTGCATAAACTTTGGTACCCAATTATGAAATAAAAGTATATGTAGGCTAATGCTGAGTAAAATTTTATAGTATATAATACAGCCAAGTTTTTTTAATTCTAATTTTTTTTCTTGCTTTTCAAAATTAAATGCATTTCAATTTTGAAAATGAGTCAACAAGACTGTTCTTCCCATGCTGATTTGCCCAATCATCACTGCTAATTACCTGAGTTCATCAACTTGCTATCATCTACATGGACCTTTCAGAGTCTAAAAACAATTGTAAACATAAATTCAATATGGCTGCAACGTAGAAGTCTTAAAAAAAAAAAAAAAGTAAAAAAGGCGAAACCTTTATGAGCAGACAGGTGTGAGACCCTGTTGGTAAGTGGGTCGGCAAGGGGAGATGATTGAGAACAGCCGGTTTCCACACAGGTTCATGGCCAATGTAGTGACACTGTATTTTTCTTACCACAGTGAAGTTTGTACTGTGAATTGGCTTCACGTTGCAGGGAAATTGTGCTGATTTCTTTGGTCATGTCTACAAGCACCTGGGATGACTTTGTGTTTTTTCAATGCCTTTGAGGTCTGTGACTAGAACAGGATGGCGAACAGAGCGTGAGTCTTTCTGTGGGAGACGGAACTCTGTGAACGTGGATGTTTCCACAGAAATAACGTTGTCAATGACAGAAACATTAACATTAGCCAGATGCTTTTTTTTCCCCCTTTGCTCAGACAGATCTTGGTCTATCTTCAGGAGAAGCTTGAGTTAGAAGTCTGGCCAGGGAGTTGTAGCTGATGCCAGAAAAGATAATATGTTTTGGGAAATACCAGAGAAGGGTTTGGACAGGCTGGAGTCTACAATGAGAGCTGGATAACTTTTACTTTCTATTGTTGTTAAATATACGGAGACACCTGAATAAGAGCTGACAGAGGTGTGGTGCAAGTTCATTACCAGCCACCAAGGGGAGGTGGAAGAGCAAGGCTGTGATTTGATTTAGCCTCTTCAGTCTCTACTGGGAGTGGAGCCTTGTGGATACTCCTCAGTCGCAAGGAGCAGTTGTGCATTGCTCACTCACACCCACCGGGGACTGAGACGCTCGCTGTGGCGGGGCTGTGCCAGGCTCTTCCCTCAGCCCCGTGCCTCGCAGCAATGGGGAGGGAGTGTTAAGACAGGAGGGGAAAATTGAATTTCTCCCATGCTGGACATTATGATATTCGGCATTTTTAAAAGAAATACTAACTCTACATGAAAGCTCAAATAAGAAAGGGATAATGGAGGTAAAATTTTACAGAATTCTAAAACTGGCCAATCTTTCAGCACTTTTGACTGACACAATACTGCCTTGCAGTGTTTCAGTTGCTTATTGCTTAGGTCTATATTGAAAAGTTGTGATGTCTATAAGTGACAGCCTTTCCTTGTGGGAATAAGGGATAATAACATGAAAATAAGAGATTTTAAGACACAGTGTCAGGGAAACATCACCCTGAGTATTTTTTTAATTGAGCTTACTTATACACCACCTTTATATTGAATATATTTATACCTGCCTTTAACATATCCTAAAGTTTTATCTACCAATGACCTTATTAGTTAATGAATAAGTTGAAGTAATCTTTATTTTTTAGAAATGGTACAACTCTTTCTTTTTGGACACTTGAAACCTACTTTAATTTTTGAAGCTGTAACAGAATTAGCATTTAACTGGTTTCTGCCATATAAGTGCAAAATGTTTTTCTCCTGAGGCTTTTGAAGGAGGAATGCATGACAAAATGCACACATCTAAAAATTATTAGAGTGCATGAGTTGTTTCAGGAACCTTGTCTAAGAGTATAGTCTAATGTATGTAAGTTGGTGCATTTTGCTGTATTAGGCAGTTACAAGCTTAAAAGTTCATTTTCTTTGTGTATTTCTAGACTGGCTCTTATTTCTCATTTTAAGCTATGAATGTTGGTACATTGCCAAATTTAAGCCCTTTGACTGTAGCATAATTTCATTTCCAAATATCTGTAACACTGTTTGGTATTATCTTGAGAGAAGTCGATAGATTATTATCTGGTGAGTTGCATTCAGTTACGCTGTTGGAAACAGTTGACATTTCTGTGGGTTTGAAGTATCAGTAGTGACATTCCTCAACCAATCTTAACTGGTAGTAGTAGTAATCTGTTCTTGGTAATACATGAAGTTTTTGTTCTACTACAATTCTTCATTTAAGGTATGGATGGACATTGGAAAATGTGATTTAATTTTCTGCTGCAATCACAAAATCTGATCTACATGAATTACTAGGTAATAGTGTAGTTTTAATGCTTCTCCAGAAGTCGCTTTAGTTCCTGTATTTCATATTTCTTAGTAAGAGTGAAAGTTTCAAGAATTTTGTTCTCAGAAGCTATGCTAGAGTTGTTGTTATGATCTGCTTTGCATTCCCTCTTACCATCTGACAGGCCATTAGGAGCAATTGAGAACTTCTGCATAAATTATTGTCAGCCCTGTGGCAATTACTGCTCTCATTACTGATCCACACAGAATCATTTTTCCACTCTTTCAAAAAAGTGCAAAACTGCTGCTGTCTTTTATCAAATGTATTTTGAGAAAAAATTCCCGGTGCAGATGTAGTTTCTACTACAGTGGTGATCACACAGGGGTGCGACTTATGCAAGTTAAAAATACGTTGTTCCTCAGAACAAAATCCTTCTGTGTCCTGGGTTAATAGATTGCGGACTGTTCCCTGAGCAAACAGAATAGTGAACCTATGGTATGAAGAGGATTCAACGAATATATGGGATCCTGGCTTCATTTTTTGAAGGTATATTAGAGTAAGTCCAGTACTAAATTTGAAATATTTGTATTTGTATATCAGTGTGTGGTGAAATCTTTTGTATACAGTCTGTTTTTAAAGACATATGAATAGAAAGAGCTGCTTCATGGGTTAGCCTTCCCCTTACTCATGCAACAAGTTAATGAACAGGAAAAATTAGCGAAACAGAACATGGTCCCCTGAAATTTGGTCCTCCCAAGGCACTTGCACTAAGCTGTTGGTGGCGTTGATGTGCAGGTGATGCTTGGTGCTGTGGCTGCTGTGCTTGATGGCCTCTCGTGGCTTAGTTTCCTTACAAGAGAGTGTGTTTCCCAGGGTTCACCACTCAGCTGTTTCCTTATCATTCCTATAATGGGCCACATTGCTTGGTCAAGTT